CAAGTTGCGAAAACAAGGTCAAACAACTTCTATTCAACCAATCTAAGTTTGCTTAACTGGGAGAAATAAAATTTAGTATTACGCCTTACAAAAAGCCAAGTTGACTGTAAAATTGCACTCTAGCCCCACAACATATACTAAAAAGTGATACTATTTCTCTTTCAAGGTTCAATCTGGCCTCAGGATATGAAAAAAAAATTAAGTTTCGAAGAATTCCTTAGTGATCTATTGTGACATGATCTTCAAGTTCGAAGGAAAAGTTGGTCGGAAGGAATTTGTGACTTGATCTCACCGGAAACCAAAGGACGCAAACATGTTCTCGGCTTATCATTTTGCAAGAATGATGAACATGTGCTAAGATTTCGTTTGTCATGTGAGAGACATCGTTATAACGATAAAATATACTTTACCAAAAGCGAACAAAGAAGCGCATAATACACAATACTATAGCCATACAAAATAGCAGAATTATACGTTTGATTATTTCGGCAAGAAACAGCCGCCAACACATCAATTTTCTCGTCATGCATCAACCTCCTCCATATACGAGAATATATGTAAGGCATGAAGCAACCAACAAAATCATGTGATGCATCATTAAGTTCTCAAAGTCTGGTATAAAAATGGGCAAAATGGCAACAACCCACTCTTAATTTCCTGGATTATTGTATTTGGGGCGATTTCTGACGATTTCTCTCGCATAGACCAAGGCTTAGCACAGCAACATCGGGATTGCAGGACAGAGAGACGGTAACTCTTCGTGGTTGCCTTATTCAGTTTCCAAATTCCCTCCAACCAGCCTCTCCATGGAGATGAAAAGTCATGTCACAATGGGCCTCGAGATGTCGCCGAATTTTTTCAATCCTCTTTCGACAGGACTTTAAAATCCCAATGGGATTCGAACTAGCCGCATTGACTGACTGAGCAGAAGAGTGACAGTTGTGGTGGGATTGCGAAATGTAAGTGTGCCTATTCACGAGGATTGTCTCCAGAGTCGTTATTCACTTTAGTTGCCGACTGCTCGAGCAGCAGCATCACAGGTGAATGCCTAGCGATGCTCGCGATGCTGAGCGCAGGTTGGTCTCCAAGTCAGTTGGCATTGCATTGACTTGTGCGGCTTCGGCTCTGGTAGGCAGGGCCACGAACGTGACGACAACTGTTGTCTCAAACTGCCACTTCCGTTTCCGCCCTCATCTTTATCCTCCCAACAGGCTGTCATGTCGCAACTCTGCCCCAATCATCCCGATCCCGACAGTGTGGCGCTCGAGTGGGCTCGTCGCATTCGCCATCGCACACCAGCCCCCCAGTTGGCCTGCAGCCTGTTGCAGAAGACCGATCCACAGCATCATCATCATCATCATAATCAGCAGCAGCAGAAGTGTCTGGACGATCTGCCGCCGGTTGCCGAGGCGGCTACGTCTCCGAGGAGTCGTCCGACAGACCTGCCCCCCCCGAAGTCGTCAATGTTGGACAAGCCGGACCGACGGCGCGGTAGCTCCGTCTCCTCCGTTCGGCCGCAGCAACAACAGAGACGGCAGCGCCACCGCCGTCCGGCGCCTGCGCTCTTGCAACCGGCCGCCATACAGGCCGACTTGACGCCCGTCGGGCAGACGATCCGAACGTCTGTCGACGCGGTAGTCGCTGAGGAGGACCAAACAGCGCCCACCCGACGACCAGCCGGCCCGGCCGGTTTACTGTCAGACGCCGGCGATCGTCGGGCCGGCGGAAACTTGGGCGACGATCAACGCGACAGCGGTCTGGACGAGTCGATCAGTCTGGTGACGACCAGTCGAGGCAGCGACGACGGCCCGGTCGGTCAGACCCGCCTCGAGATGGCACCGTCGGGGCGGACGGATTCGTTGGTCCGGCCAACTCCGGTACCAACGGACCCGGCCACGGTGCCGAGCAGCCGCCAGTCCGGTGGGACTGAAGACGCGGAGGAGTGTGCAACCAAGCCAGTGGGGCCGATGACCACGGCAACAGCAGCATTTGTGGCGTTGACTCGTCCGGCCAGACACGATTTCGTCGGAGGCCGATCTGAAGAGGCTGAGACGACAGCGTTCGGGCAGACGAGTCAGACGAAGCAGCTGCTGAATCCAGCCCTGTCTGAGGAGGAATCGGATGAGCCCCGGACTGAGGCGTCATTGGTGAACCCACGGACTTTGATCAAACTCACACCTCGTGCACAGGCAACCCACTACACCGGACAGAATCGGTTCAAGGGAGCTGAGATCAAACTGGGCGAAAGTCTTCCCGACACAAGGTTTGCCTTAACTTGGACCTTTTTGTAAATCTGCCCAATGTCTAGGCCGACTCCTCTTGCTCTACCCTCACCTCCGACAGCTCCATGACGCTAAGACGAGCGCAATCCACAAGATATTCTCTCTCGGGTTTGGTGAAAAGGAAATAAACTTTTGTCTGTCTAGTCACCTGACAAGTCTTTCAATAGCTCTACATGAATAATATACTCGTAAATGCAATAGAGACGACCTAAATAAAAGGAGATTTACATCAAGTTATTAGTTATAACTTGTTTTCGCAGCTCGGTCATATC